AGTTTGGAGCCTAGCTCTGTTGTGATTGTCCCACGCTGTGATACAACGTGATACAATGGCGAAAGCTTTGTAGATAGGGATAGAAATATAAATTAATGACCAGATTCACTTGTGTATGATGTTCTCTCATTTCAGAACACATGTCATTCTCTAGAGAATCCTGTCAATAAGCAAGGCTAGTAACTAGCCAGAGGTAACCATGGCAAAATCACCATAGTAAGTTGCCTATAGAGGCTTTGCACCATCACATGATGGCAGCCATGACAGGAGTCAGAAACAATTGAATCTGATATAATCTGATTTACATGAGAAAGAATTCAGTTTCCCAAGGCAGAACAACTCTATTGTTGTGCCTCCTGTCATGGCTGCCATCACATGATGGTACAAAGCCTCTAAAGCTTTTTCAATAAAAGTTGACTTATGATGCTGCTGTATTGTACAAACAAAAACAAAGAATATGACCCTATCAAATTTCCATCATTGTACTTACCCGTGAAACTGGCTCCTTTAGTGATAGACCCTCTACAATGTGTTCATGTTTGTATCTCTTAACTACATCATCAATACTGGAACCAAAATTAACTGAAATCTTAGCATTCAAGACAGCTGAGGGAGGGGAGGGAGGGGAGTGAAGGGTGTTAAGCTAAGGGTATTATTTCAAGTTCAAAAGTCTGAATTCTGGGTTCGATCCACAGGCTCATTGTTGAGTGAGAGGAACTTTGCTTGATAATTGCRTAGTTTAAAAAATTATCCATGCCCCCTTCACAGAGGAATTTTTTTAAGACACCCCCCTACCCCAAGGAAATTCCAATTTTCTTCCATACAAACTATGTAATTTGTGTTCTTTCTCTGACCCCCTACTCTTCGGAAATTCCAAATTCCTCTATGGGGTGGGTATGGATGATTTCTGGAACTACACATTCTCTCCTGTGCTTTTCTCAGGTTCTAATTTGAACTATCAGCTGCCTTATCAAGTGGGTCGTAAAATCTGTTATAGGTGTTCTGCATACCACCATGGACTGAAAAATGCCATTACATTTTAAAACGTTATAAATTAATGGACCTACATCTCACAAAAACCGCAAAAGTACTTATACACCTACCTGTCAAAAAGTCTTCCTCCCATAAGATACTGTGAACCCTGACGTCTGATAAGAAACCTTGTGACTCCTTGTTGATACCTGGAAAAAAATAAAATAGACATGTATACTCAGGTACACAACTGTGCCACACAGAAAGACCATTCCAGGGATTTTCTTAAAATTTCAAGTACCTGGATGATTTACTTATTTAGACGGAAAAAAAACTTTATTAACAGGTACAATAATCTACTTTACACATCTCGCAAGAATGGCAAAAACAGGTAGCTCAGATGTGTAAAGTAGATTCTGGAGTTCATTTGTTGTTGCAGGCTTCTGATTATTTCTGATTATTTCCTGTCATTCATTCATTCATTCATTATGGGAGGTTTGAATTAAAGAAATTATTTAATAAAATACCTTAAACTCAAGGAGTAATCTCCTGGTGATTTGTCACTTGGTCTTATAAGAAAACTACCAACAGCACCATCTGAACAAACAACACATGTACATCATCAGTTTAAAATCAAGGGTAAAAGTACAAGAACAATCTTACAGTGAGGACACTCTAACCATGAGCACTTTGTGCTTTTTTACTACTTTTTTAAACATGCATCCCTTGAGTGAATCATTTAGAAATAAGTTGTGTTTTTACCACATAGTATATTTGAGTTCAATCCTACTTTTTTAGAAGGTAAATAGTTCAGAAAATAAAAATCTGAATAAAGTCAAGTGTTCATGGTTCCAGTGTCTTCACTGTAAAAACCACTGGCTTATATAGGTGTGGTTGCACAGTGAATTGCAAAATAATAAATTGCTGGAACTGAAGGTGAATGGTAGGGCATTGGTAGGTTGTCTGCAGGTGAAGGTTAGGGTGTCTGTGGGTAAATGGTAGAGTGTTGGCAGGTTGAATGCAGATGAAGGGTGCCTGTAGGTGAAGGGAAGGGTGTTGGTAGGTGGTCTGTGGTCTGTGGTCTGTGGGTGAAGGGAAAGTGTTCGCAGGTGAAGGGTAGGTTTTCTGTACGTGAAGATAAGGGTGTTGGTAGGTGGTAGGTGGTATGTGGGTGAAGGGTAGGTTGTTTGCAGGTGAAGAGTAGGCTGTCTGTAGGTTAAGGGAAGGGTGCTGGTAGGTGGTCTGTGGGTGAAGGGTAGGTTATCCGCAGGTGAAGGGTAGGGTGTCTGAAGGTCAAGAGTAGGGTGGTGGCAGGTTGTCTGCAGATAAAGGGTAGGGTGTCTGTAGGCAAAGGGAAGGGTGTTGGTAGGTTGGGTTTAGGCGAAGGGTAGGTTGTTGGAAGTTTGTCTGCAGATGAAGGGTAGGTTATCTGCAGAAGAAGGGTAGGCTGTTGGTAGAATATACACCAGGTTCATGTACATTAACAGAGAGCTTATTTTTGTGATGGTTGTCAGTAAGACTTACGCACTCAGGTGTTATTTGTTTGACAGCTGTTTGCTTTGATTATCTAGTATATAAATGGTGTGTTAATATCGCTATTTTAAACCCTCAACAAAACTTCCTGCATTCTGATTGGAAACTAAAATCTTACCTCTCATAAGCAATTCTTGTGCCCCATCCTTTGTTATATCACCAAAATACCACCTGTGATCATTCAAATATTATCTTATAAATTATCTTATAATATTGAAAAACTCCATGTTAAAATTAAAGTTGAAATTGAGTATGATAGACTGTATCCAATTAACAGACTTCTAGCTAGCTCCTGGGTGATCAATTTTTTCTGTATTTTTACAGCCATTAACTATCCGTAATTGATAACTTAAAATAAATATTGGCTACAAACTTACGGTTTTCCAGCATGTGGATCAAGATCTGGTTCCTGAAAAAAAGACAGACTTAATTTTAGCAAGTTTATGAAGGAGACTGTTTTTTTGTTTCATAAAAGGATCCTTCAACAAACTACAAGTTCATCAGGTTTAATATGTCTCTTAGGTTTGGTAAATACTCTTTAAGATACATGGGACCTAACATTTGGGCTATTATGTACACAAAGAACTTACAACCTATATCTAGTTTTTTTATTTTTTGTTTGTTTTTTGTTGTTTTTTTTTTTTGTATAATTTTTTTTTTTTGTATTTTTTGGCTTCAAAAAGTTACGGATAGTAAATGCAATAGTTTTTTAATGCAGTTCATAAAGCATCTTAATGGTTTTCCAGTAGAGGAAATTTCTTTGAAGTGGGTCCTTCTGATAACGAAAGCCAAAACTCAGAGTCCAGAAGAATACAGAGGTCTACGTCTTAGGTGGTGTAATTTTGAAAATGGGTGTAATCAGTCTGCAGGTAGATCAGGTTTCTATTGTTCACTTTGCCTACTTACAGCATCTTGAAGGAGAGCAGCTGGTGCCAAACCTCTCTCTTTGTTCTTCTGAGCAGCAACCCAAAGCCAGTCATTATCAATAACATTATCGACTATAAACACATCTCCTTTACAAAAGCTGCAAAAGAAAATCTCTTATAAATAATATAAAATACCCCTGGGCGCAGCCATTACTGCAGTCATTTTGAAAATGCCATTTTTCTATAGTTTATTAGTAGGCAAGCTTAGTACTGATATGCCTGATGAAGGCCGATGAAAAGTAATACAAGGCTTTTAATAGCATAGGCTACCACATCATCCCTTTGTTTACTAGTGCACACTTGAGATACTGACGATCTGGTTGGAGCTCAAAAGAGGTTATCAAATAGAAAATCCCCGAGAAAGTGACATGTGGTCTGAAATAAGGAAACAATTTTGTACTCCCAGATGTAAAGTACTACTGAAAAGAAATTATATATATTTATCTATATATTTGTCAAACTCATTTAATACTTCATGAGAAGAACACAACAGAAATCACGACCGTGAAGAGTGTTGTAAATCTGATACAAAATTGTGTTCATTTGCATAAACTTTAAGGTAGCTCCATATAGTTAAAAGGCTTTTGAGGTACATGTTACATATTGCTGTATTAAAAAAAACAAAGTATGTTTTGACCCTTTTTTGCGCATTGTACTAATATTAGTAAATCAAGGTTTCAGTTTTTACAAAAAAATATAACATGACGGGTCGCCATAGCAACGTAACGTTAGTCTTAATTGAGGCTTTTTTGTAATAAAAAAAATTAAAGCTCGAGTTTTTCGCGGTGAATTTTTTTCTAAATTTGTTAAGTGAAATCATACTACTTATTTCATCATTTGACACCACGACTTAAGTATCCCAACGACAGAACCTTAGATTTAACGCAATTTCTGTCTTTTCACAATTAAAAACATTCTGTCGTTAGAACTCGCTAAATATTTTGCAAGCTAATTGCTTTTGATATGGAAAAACCACTGTAAAAATTTGAAGACATTTTACCGCCAAATTTCCGAGATTTTTAATTTCAAAAATTGCACACAAAAATTAGTCAATTACGTCATCAAAATAAAATTTCTACAAGATCCGTATTTGCGCACGTGCGAAACTGAGCGAGCGAGGTAAACATTTGTGCCAGCCAATACAAACCCCCGACCATCCATGATATTGCTGAATTTCTCGCGGAATTACCACTCGCAGGCTCATCGATAATGCACGAAATATTAAAATTGAACTTGTTTTGAGCTTCACTTGAGTCGTTAAAAGGCACTGATGTAATTGTTTGGACATTTTTTTGGATTATTTGCAGTGTTCTTTTATTCCAGCATGTTTTGAAAAGTAATTTTAACTGCTTGGCGCACCGCCATCTTTATTTTGTTTTTCGCGGCTTTAAAAGCTCGCGCCATCATAAAACTCATTCCCATTTCCCTCGCGGTAAAAATTAACTATATGGATTTACCTTAAGTTGGATTTTCTTGGCCAGATTCACTTTAATTTTGAAAATTTTAGTGAAACACAAAGGAACTAACCTAGACGTTTAACAAGCAATCTACAGTATTCGTGTCCATGTTGTATCCGATATGCAAACGCTCAGCTACGCCTCAAGTTTGTATATCTGATACAACACAGCCACTCATACTGTATATATTACATATATATAGATGTATACAAACCTTATTTCATCAGTGTCTGGTGTCTTGTTATATGTGTACTTTGCAACCACTCGCCTTTTCCCAGTAACCGGTTCAGGAGGAGGAACAGGATTGGCTAGTTGTTCATCTTTAAGTAAACAGGACCAGCGTGTGTAGTAACCAATCAGGTCTGATAATGAATCAAACTGACGCCCACCAATATAATATTCACTACATACAGCAGTAATTCTGAAGTGACATACTCCATTTTTACTGAGATAGGAGAGCGAGTAGGTATCAGGTTTACGATCACTCTGACGGACAAGATAAGCTCCTTCACGACCATCAGCATTGAGTCTTTCTTCACATTTCATTCGATCCAGTTTTCCATGGTACCATCTGGAAAATGAAATTTATTTGAAATTGGAGTTAATGATGTTGTTTATATTAGGGCATACATTAAATTGCAARACACTAATGCTTTCTTGCAGGCAACAAATTAACTTTTTAACTTCAAACCAGGGCATAAATAATGGCCAATCAAATGCCACTCATTATCAAAGGTCAAATTAGTTTTACCTAAGTCATACCACATTTCTTGCTAAACGTTACTGGTCAAAAAGACTGGCAAGGCAAAAAATAGGGGGACAAAACAATAGGGGGAAAAGGAAAACAAATTCAGATACRAAAATAAAACCTCTTGCGGTGGTAAGAAAATTGCAACCTCCACGTCAAGGAAATAAAACCTATAGTTTCCTCAGTGCCAATATCAGATTCAGATTCATCAAGTTACTTAAAAGGAAATAAAATGACTGTTTGAAATAATGAAAGGTATGAAATAATGTCTTGCAAATAACTGATCCCTTGGATATATAATTTGATAAATAAATAAATATCTGTATCTATGTGTCTTAGAGATAATGAAATGTGAAACTATAGGAAGAAAACATTAAATATCATAAGAATGAAACTTTTGAAAATAAGTAGCAACCCTGTCAAAGTAATTTCATTTTATAAACTCTAGAATGCTAATTACATTACCGAAAAAAATAATTTGACAGTACAATGACAGTAGCTCAATCCTGTTCAGGACTGCTATATATATGTAGGAATATAAATTAAACTTCAAGCTAGTGAATAGTTAAATTAAAAAATAATAATAATCAAAAAATAGTATGAAATTCGTTGCGATATTCAGTGTTTGAAAATAAGAAGGGCTTATACGTCATACAGTATATGATTGATGTTCTTGAGAAAATACTCTTCAAGCTTTCTGTACATGCAAAAACATCGTACATTGAATTCGAATTACCTATCCCTTAGTTTAAATCAGGGTTGACTCTTAAAGGAATAAAACAAAGCCAAAATAGCATCAAAATTAATTGAAGATTACTATATTTGTAGTTCTAAAGGTAGAATGATACGATACGATTATATATTTTCAAGAATCATCACGTATTTGATGTCCAAAATGAATCATAAATCATTTGCTTACTGATCTTCTGGCGGTGCACTTGATGCAAGTTCTATATTCTGTTCGTCATCCTCAAGGATATCTAAGCCTATCTCGTCTTCAAAGTGGCCATCAGCTTCGTTCTCGCCTCCCAAAACACCATCCGAACCTAAGCTTCCATTTCGATCTCTATCCGCCATCTTGGTTTCCTTATACTGTACAGTGTTATCGCGGGCTCAATAGCATTTCGCAATAACATCCGGGGAAGCCTGGAACAAGGGACCCAAAGGGGACCAGAAGGGGACCTAGCTTCAGTCGTCCTCAGTCTTACGCTTATTGTTGATAAATTTCATTTATATCTATTTTTCTTTCTTTTTTAAGATATTTTTCGTTTATTTTCCACTTTCAGTCTCCTTCCATATGATTTTTTCTATGAAAATTCTTCTCGTAAAGGTCTGGACGGAGTCTTGTGCAAAGAGAGTTCTGAAAACTAGTTAACACATTTGAATGAATAATCTGTTTACAGCTTCTCAATCACACGCGCGAAATCGTGAAAAATCTTTTGAGACATAATAGAGTTTTGGTGGACGCCAATCAAAGTGTTTACCGGCATTGTGCAATGTCATGGAAACGTATTGATTGACAAACAACTTCGTCATGATGGCAAAATGTACGATTTCACGCGTGTGATTATTGAGAAGCGCTGTAATGAACAAGAAGAAGCTCTCAAAGGCGTTCACTCGGGGTTCCTGTATGTAGAGCATGTATGTGTAGTTTACTTAATTAGTCAAATACGAAAAGTACTCTGATGTGTCTGATAACGAACTGAGATGCAATGTAAGTAAAGCAAGCTACTGCTAGTGACTCTTGTGGTAGTTCGATGGCGGGATAGAAAACGAAACTGTCAGTAGGGATTCATAGGGTTTTCATTAATATTGTAGCGGTGTGTGTTCAGCTACGGTTGAATTGTGTCATAACTTTTTAAGACGGAGGACAGCTTGTACTTTCGCATACCTGATGACATTTGTTATTTGATTAAAAAAAAACATTGATTGGTGTGGTATTCTAGGGGTTGGCGTCAAATGTTAATTCGTGGACGTAATCCGGCGGCAAGTGTGCGGACATTTTTCTATCGTGTAGCGCGTTATACAAAAAAAAAAAAAAAAAAAAAAAAAAAAAAAAAAAAAAAAAAAAAAAAAAAAAAAAAAAAAAAAAAAAAAAAAAAAAAAAAAAAAAAAGACAAAAAAAAGAACAGCAACAAAACAATTTATTAATTATAACTTTTACAATTTTTTTTTTTTTGCAATATATATATATATAAATACATATATTTAAAAAAGGATCTATATAAATACTAAATTATATACACATAAAAAAGAGATCGTGGAGAGGGAAAGGCTGGGGACTTATATTTAAACTCCCAACTTTTTACCTTTGATTTCCGATCCTTTGAAATTCCAGGTCTTTCCTTAATCATTTTAAGTTTTATGCATACTGTTCTACAAAAAAGTTCAGTTTAAACCCAATATCCCCAAAGTTAGATCCCTCAGTCTCGAATAGGACAATGTAAAATAAATAAACTTTTTAAAATAAATAAATTAACAATAGCTATGATATGGAAAAAAAGTACTCCAGGTAGCTTACAAAATTTTTTCTCAGTTGTAGTTTACGCCTTTGCGGATTTTAAAGCTATAATTATGCGATCCAGGGGCTTTAAATAGAATTGATTTGAAGTTATTGTTATGGGAACTAGGTCTGAATAAGACCAAAGATAAAGGTAAGAGAGGGAGGGAAGACTCCGATATAAAAGTATTCGTAATGGTCGTTCATTGTCGTCGCAATCAGCCGGGCCGAAAGGAGTGAACAATGGACATTGAAATTGAAACCTATGTTTTCATTTTTTTCCTTTGACGTTTTTTAGGGTTGGGGAAGAAACAACATCCAAATGTTAGAGGTACTTTTCATACTTTTGTGACCTAAACTCCTAAACTCCACGAAATTTTCAACGGTCGCAACTTTTATACTACATTTTAGCGAGGGGTTAAAATCATACATGTGAACCCGCACAATCATTAAAAACTAGCCGGATCCCCTCATTTCAAATTTCAAACGAGAATTAAATCCCATACCCTTGGACAGGAGTCGCTACCCCTCGAACACACGTTTTTAAATACAAATAATGACATTTGTTCATTTCAGGCTATCAAATCTTTTTCGTCGTCTGAGTGAACTGTGACATAAGGGAACCCCAACTGGTATGAAGCATCTGGCCAATAGGCAATAGACGGCTTGAACTGAGGGAACTCCTTGACTGCATACTGGTGGGATGCGATCACGCAAGCAAAGTATGAAGCCACAAATATCAGAATATGCCAAGCACAGTGAAGATAAGGAAATGAAATTCGTGTCCATATGTCACAAAATACGCGATCATTAACCCAGACCACTATGGCGACGACCCACCAAAAAGTACAGAAGAAACCAAGACGTTTGACTTTCTTATTTGAACTCCTTTGAATAGAGAAGAAATTGGTGAGTTAAATTGACAAAATACTGCTATTATGCCCTATAAATGCTAGTCAATTCAATTTAAACTCCTGATCCCCGACCCCCGGGACAGGGCGGGGAATTAACTGAGCGAGACCGGGTATTAACGCGCATTTAACAGCGTGAACGYACGGGTATATGGTAAATTTAACGCGCACACTTCAACAGATTAAAAATTTCTTTTTTAACAGCAATAACTTCAGCTAACTTCGATAATTTCAACCATGATTAKGTCTTTCCCCGGGAACTGTGCTATATTTAACACAAAATTTCCCGCTCTGCCCAAGGGGTCTGAAAGTGGAGGTTTCAAGGCTGGTGTATTTACTAATAATGATAAGAATGACGATTTAAAAAACACGATATAATGGATTTTAATAAGAGCCACTCTCTATTATCGCTAGTTTTCTTAATAAAATTCTACGATATATTAATAATAACTTAATAATTGTTAATGAAATCACCGTTTGATTGAGTTTGATATACTAATCAATGCATACTTACTCTTTCACTTCAGATACGATAAGAAATACCAATGGAATTCCTAATAGCAATAATGCAAAAGCATTTGCTATTGGATAGATGAATCCCAACAGGGTACCAAATATGCCGAACAATACCATTAGGTAGGCCAATCTGCACCTAAGATATAAATAGAAAAAATGTAATATCCAAACCAAGCGACTCTACAGTTATACACTGGCCATGTGATAATGGAAATGGTTTTCTTCCCCTACAGACCGGTTGCAGCAAGTCGGAATGGAGCTCAATTTGGAGGACATAACAATGGTTTCCAATAGTCCCCTTCACAATACCATGCGCCATCTTGAAAGGTTGCCGTGGCTTTGAATCGAAGCGAGACGAACGGCGAGGTTGCAATGATAGAGACATGTGAATAATTGTCCAAGATGTTAAAAAAAAGGTCTCTATCGTCATTGCAAGCTCACCGTTCGTCTCGTTTCGATGCAAAAGTACGGTTACCTTTCAAGATGACGCAGGGAACCGTGAAGGGGACTATTCTCACAAGATACAAATTATTTTGTTTTGTCCTCCAATTTGGGCTTCATTGACGTTATTTGCAAGGGATCTATAACCTATAGTAGCTTGGTATGTTGCTTAAACCTCCCGCGTGCACCCAAAATTCGATGGAAGCACGTTAATCAGTAACCAATCTTTTGATAAGTTGGTACGTGAGCGATATCTAGAATCGACAAAAGAGCTAGCGAAAGCACCACTTGTGTAATCAGTCTACATTATTATGATTTTGTATGTTCTGTAAACTGTTTTAAGCTTGATGAGAGATAGCTATGGCAGAAATCTTACCTTTCCCCATAGAAGGGGCAGTAGGTCACAATCCATTTGGGTGCCCAAAGTGCAAACGCTGTCATTAGTACCCACAATATTGCCAGTTCATCTAATAGCTGGCCAACCAAGCTTAATGTTGCATGAAAGTATGCTGAACTTGCTCCGATCACAACTAATAATACCCAGATGATATTAATACCTTGACCAACATGGTTGGAGTATGGGCGGAAAAGATATCTGCAATAATAAAGAAGGTGCAAAATATGATTAACCACATTCATAAAATAACTGCTATAAATCTCGCATTCTGATTGGTTGGGAACGCGTGCTTTATGAGAGCACACAGCATGCACGCGCCCTTGTATTTTATAAAAGAAATTAAAAAAACTTGCTCACTGTGGTGTGTGGAGTTATAAAGCACTTGGGGATTGGCAGAACACTCGAGAAGTGTCGAGAAGCACTCCGCTACGGGTCGAGCTTCTCCTAACACGTCTCTCGTATTCTACCTATCCCCGCGTGCTTTATAACGCCACACAGCACGTGCGCGTGTTTTTATTTCTTCAATTTATCAACGCAAACGACATATGCTTAAGATTAAGTCTAACTAAGCCCGTGGATATGGCAGGAACTTCTTAACATAAAATACATACATCCGTTTTGGCAGGGAAAAGGTTTAAGGAACCTACCCCTTCTTACCCCCATCCCCTTCCACTATGACCTCGCTGCASCTGCACTGCTAATAAGCAAAAAGTATTGTTTGGGGATGATATTATACAAAACAAATCGCATAAGGTGCAAGGCTGTGTTATTCACTGTATCAGCCTGAGGCTAAATTTTCCRAATGGTAATAAACTCTTGTATTTCTTGTGTTTCATAAGTGCTACGCGGTCCACATATTCTCATCTTTGCTTGATAACAAACTCATATTTATATTTTAACAATTATTTTTGGTTTTTTTGAGTCTCTAAAAGTACGACCCGAGCAGATTATATCGGGTATACAACTGGAGCAGATTACGTCGGGAACAGATAACGTCGAGTATAAGATCCGACAGCGCGTTGCGCGTTGCCTGGGCTACCGAGATTAAAAACATAAAACTTAGTCTAAATAATTCATCAGACTCTCTAAGAGCGAAACCTAGCTTTGCGTGACAATCCACTTTATCGTTTATATCGTTTTTTCCTTAAGTATTTATTTGTTTATATATCATATTCATAATAATCAGTTTAGTTTTTCTTTTCATATTCAATAAAATAAAATTATTTTTTATTTTTATTTTCTATATCGAAACGTAGTCTATTTTTGTATATATATTTTTTAGTTCTTTTAAGAACTTGTTTCGTAATATTTTACAATTAAATTAATATCTAAATAATCTTCTTATTCGTATGGATAAACTTAATGTGGGGTTTAAGAAACATTTTTGCTATTGGCTCACCCACCACCTCTCCCTACGATCAATAATAAACAGTCCCTGGAATAGGTTCATATTTAACAAGAACACTGCTCAATAATAATGAAAATTGGTGTAAAATCCTACTGTATCAATTGATTTTGGAGAAGATTACAGTGTAATTACTGATTTTGTTGCATGGTTGAGAGCATATTGAAGATTCTAACTGTTAGCCTAAGGTACCTTCGAAATATAATACTTTTAGTTGCTATAGAGCATAGAACATAGATAATGAGAATGTTATATAAGTAACCAAGACCCCGTGTACTTAAAGGTCCGCTGACGTAACTAAAGTAAAGATATAGGCACTATCAAACGTCCGAAACGTCAACGGGAAGCACAACTTTTTATTGACACCGGATGTCATCATAATAATTGTTTTGCGAAAAAAAATCTTGCCAAATTTCAAAATTATAAATCATAAATATTTTTTTTGAAACTTTCTCGACCAAATGAAGAGTTTCTTGGTCAAGTCCATGGGTTACATATTGATTTAAAGTAGCGAACAGACAAGGGGAAGCTTAGTACTGCTGAAAGCTGTCGGACCAGGTGTCTTCTATTTTGGTGCGATCGTGCATATATTAAGTCGTCGAGTGTAGTCTAGAAAAGGCTTTCACCGTTCATTTGTCTTGAGTTTACATGGCCAAGCTAAGGAAGTGTAAAACAAAGGAAATGCTGTGGCTTTAATATTTTGACCATGAAAATGAAAGATTATGTTTAATTGATATCATGTAAAATCAGAAAAATAGAAACTGGATTACAAATACTGTCAAAAAAGCCGAAAATGTTTACAGAAAAAATCACATTTCCTTTATGATTCTTATTATAAGAAGATCTCGTGGATTTAATACATAAAATCACATCGAGAAAAGGAAAAAAATTGCTTGTTCTAAACTGTTTGTTCTAAAAATAAATATTTAACGCCATATACGCAGGTAAAATGAAGAAGCGAAATTTCATATTAAAAAGTCGGGATTTTCCCGCTCTTTCAAATAAATACATCAACTACGAAGAGATTTAAAGGAAAATAGGTATGGTGTAAGTTTTCCTATAAATAATGCGTTTTGAAACAACTAAAACTGAGAGATGCATGCAGTCTGCTATCGGATAAAAATATATATCGTTGAAACATCGTCGCTTACTGGGGAATATACTTACGCAATAAATGGTGGAATTACTAGGTAGATAACGTTGCTAATCTAAAACAGAAGTATAAAATAGCAAGTTTATATCAATATAAACTGTATATCGTAAGTATATTAGGTTAATCAGTAGAAAACAGACCGTGTTGAAGAACTCGGCGATGCTCGGGGAAAACTCGTAGTTCGCTTCRCACCAATCGACTTCTGAACTTCCACGCTCAAAATGTGCAAACATCTCGATGAATTTGGTCTCATAAATGCTTAAATTACCATTTACTACAGTGATCAACCATTTCTGACTTCTCGACTAGCTCCATTCTCGGACGAATTTAAAACACACGTGCAAATCGTTTCGCATCGTCAAAATAATATTTCCTCTATAAATGTCAAAACAAAAGAGGCCACGTGGGTTGATCACCTCAACGTCACTTCCGGTTCAAGTTCCAACTGAGTCCAACAGGTAACCCAAGCTGGTATTAACAGGTTCTTATGGAAAATAAAGCTTTGGCAGCAAGGAGTTTCTTTTCTTAGACTTAAAAGACACATTGCATTGAAATAGAAGTTACTGGAAATTTCAGTAAGCAGATTAGATTGAAAGTTTGGAACTTTTAATGCGTCGCTTTCCAAAGTAAACAAAGGATACTAGTGCATCAGTAGAGTCGCACCAGGGACCCGCCACAGGGGGCTTTACTCCGTGGAGCGAATTGAAGCATTGTGATGAATACTGGCTTGCAAATCCCTTTTATCTCTGATTGCTTCGTCAAACTACAAACGAAAAGTTGGATTTTTTTCTTTGAAATTAGGCATCTTTATTTCTCGGCAGTTCTGCTGGAATTCGAACTGAGTTTTATTAGTTACTTTTAAGGTAGTGATACAGAAATAAAATTACCATCGCTGGAAAGAGTATGCATAAATTAAGAAAGTGATTTGAAAGCTCTAGGCGAAGACATGATTTTTGAAGAGTTTGATTTTTTAAAAGAAAATAACATTTCGATATTTATAGTTTTACTAATCTTAATATGCTCCTTCCAACTATGGTAACTGATTTCATTGATGACTTTTGGAGTCTAGACTAGCCTGCGTAGCCAGGCGTTCTTCGTGGAGGATTGTGCCCCAATCCATCGTGAAGAACAGCCTAGACCGGTTAACAGTCACCTCTCTTTTCCCCATGGGGATGGAGTGCTTTTGTAGAGGGTGGGTGGGTTGGGAAAGGGTTAATCCGGGTTTTATTCCGGTTGATTCAGGTTTCATTATTGCTAAAAGGAAGCAAGAATCGCAAATGCATGAGGAAGTAATGTGGCGTAATCAACCAACCCTCCTCACCTCACCTTTGCAGCTCCCCTTATTAGCCAAAATGATGTAAATGCATCCCCTTATCCAAACTGATTATGTTTGTCAAGTTCAATTATTCAGAATTTCAGAAATTTAAGAGCCGAACTTTTTCTCGATTCTCTCTCTTGAAAATAGCCCGATATGTTTTAGCGTGTTCTCGATTTAGGGAACGTTCATTTTTTATCAGGGAGGGGGGGAGGGGGTGGAATTCCAGCAAGATCCCATACCGGTAAAAACTAGCCCCCCTGTATTGCTGTTGACATCTGCTGCCCCACCCTCTCATGTTCTATACCTGAATGGCCCCCTTTTGACATTGGTTTTTCTACATGTACCCCCCTGTATAAGCCGGATTTTTACATGGCCCCCCAGATTCCCCAGCCCCCCCCCCTCCCTGATAAAAAATGAAAGGTCCCTTACTCTAACCGGAATAGATACGTTACACATTACTTTTGAGGTCACGAAATGTCAATGAATTTAATCATCCAGCTTTGTAGCTTTGCTATGTGTTGTTTTAATCATGAATGGACAAAACTTCAACAAAAATCCAACAGCAAGATTTAAAAATAGATCTTTTAATCATCAATGGAGTCGTCAGTCAAGTGGTGATTTTGATTCACTCAAATCGAGAGATACCAACAAAACTTCGGTAAGACGACTTCAATATTTGACGGAACATGTTATAAATTTAAAGAAGTTTTCTCTGCTTTGTCATCATGGGCAAACATTATGCTACGAAACTAGTTTGTTTGTCAAATCTTTTTGTATTCCTGAGCGGAAATTCATCATAGATTCTTCAAGATTAGTTTTGAGAATTTTATATACATTACCGATTTAGCTCACTCTCTGATTATACCAATGTATCTGATGTTATTTTAACATTTAGAATTTAACGTTATTAGGTATTCAGTGGACCACACTTGATGTATCTCGTGATAGTCACGATTTTACACCAAAAGTCTTTAACAAATATTTATCAAAAAGATCTGTCAATAGACCGCGAAACCTAGGCCTTTGGGATAATGATAATGCTCTCCCATTTCAGATCACGAGTCATAGTCTAGTGTGATCATTTCCTTGTTTAACGCGGGTCAACTTTTGCGCATGACCAGATTAAAGTTTTTTTGGATCTGGTGTTAGATTTTTGTGCGTGGAAGGGAGGAGGGATTTTTATATTTAGAGAATTTGTATAATTTAAATAATTTATATTTATCTGTTACTGCGACTATTGTCCATCCAAAGAAACGTTGCCAAGCCCTGACTTAGATCAGCTCAGATGTTGTTTTGGGGTTGCATGAAATATAATTTACGTTTTCTTCAATATTAGCCAGTCCACCTGCATTGATATGCCAATCTTCCTAACGTTCCTATATGAGAATATGATAACAAAATGATATACAAAAAGATAGTGGAAAAACATTGAACTGTATAAGATGATATTTTATTATATACATACTGAGAAATACTCACTGAAAATCTATCCAGTAAATTTTCGTTCATTCACYGGTCTCAGCCAATCAGAGAGACGAACGACGTTTTTTCACCGTTTTTTCACGATATTTTTGCACTGCACCGTTGAATGGCTTCCCCTGCGCCCATTGACCACAGGAAKCCCATACAAGCTTTGAGAGCTGAATGTAATTTAACGAGAGAGAAAAAAAAAAACTAAAATAAATAAAAGCTAATATTTACTCACATGAAGTGTTTTTTACGTCATTCTAGTCCTTAGCAGTGATTTCGAGCCATTTTAGCGATTTTTTTTAAAAATTCCCCTTCTTCTTATACACTATGTAGAGGAGAAGGGAAAATTTTTTTAAATCGCTAAAATGGCTCAAAATCACTGCTAAAGAACTAGGATGACGTAAACAACACTTCATTAGAGTAAATATAAGCTTTTAATTATTTTATTTTATTTWTTTTTTCGTTAATTTACATTCAGCTCTCAAAGCTTGTATGGGCTTCCTGTGCATAGACTTGGTAGCTTTGTCATTGAGCGAAGCAGTAAATCTTGTCAGTGCTGTTGTGGTTCTTATTTTGCTAAAATAGGTCCTTTTTTACTGCAAAAAGTAAGCAAAGGCATAARAAATGGAAGAAAATAGATGTGTTACTCCCAGTGACACTGTAGAGGATTATGTAGAAAGTCTACAAAACAAGAATACTAAGGGAAAAACCGAGCGAGATGTGAGGCTACTGAAAAGCTATCTAACATCACAAAATGAGGAAAGAGAAGTGCACGAAATAGAGCCACAAGAGCTAGATCGATATCTAGCAGAGTTTATTCGTTTGGTTAGGCGAAAAGATGGAGAGGACTATGAATGGAATATTATCAAATTTCTCAGTATGTATATAAACAGAATACAGCATGGAAAGTCGGCTTTGTATAGTTTTAATTCACTCGTTGTTTCGTATCGAAAAACTCACTCGCTCGAAGACTCGCTSGTTTTTTTGATACTGCACAACTCGTGAATAAAAACCGGCGCGTACTTTCCATGAAGTATTCTCTATAGAACAAACGTCCACCGACAGAGACCCGAAATTTGATTCCACTATGTATTATACAGTCAATGTCATTATTAACGTTGTCCACCGAAAAAAGACATTTACACATTTACACATTTACACTAAAAGATATATCACGTGTTTCATTATGTATTCTTTGCCTCGTGTGCGTCAGTCTGAACTTTCAATGTAAAATTCAACTCATGAATCGAAAATCCAGAATGCCCTGACCATTTAGTGAGGATTTAAGATGGAGAATGGTATTTCAGCGTTTGTTTCATGCCAGAACCTTCGAGGAAACACGTGATATTTCTTTTAGTCTAAATGTGTAAATGTGTAAATGTGTAAAAGTCTTTTTTGGTGGACAACGTTAATGACATTGACTGTATATGCCCTATACCCTCGAGAAATCCGCAGAAACTGAGGTGTCGTATGCACTTCTTGCAATTGTGGCAAAGTGGGGAAAAATACATGGTTATTCAAAATACTTAGTTACACCCGGTTAAGCGAGGTTAGTTCCTGGATTTGTACCTATTGGAGTTTTATTTCTACTTTTTTGATTAAAAAATATTTGACTAAACATAGAAATAGATGTTTCGCTAGCTCGCAACTCGTCATATTGAGTGTAAGCTATTCCTGTCTACCTACTAAAGAATATATTATGACACGTGGTCTAAAATGAGATAAAATTACAACGAAATAATTAAGTTTGATGTAAAGGATTTTAAGTRATGGTATAGCGTGGCACACGGTTTTCAACTGCCAATGATAAATAAACTATGCATTCCACAGCAGTAGTTTAAATTTTAGCCCCTCACTTAACATTACACATCACACATTACATTATTTATGTCAAGGGCAGATTTAGGGAATGGGCAACGGGGCCGTGGCCCCCACTTTTAAGCAATGTATTTTCTAAGTTTTCTCTGAGGACGAAGTCTTCCATCTCACCCTTTATTCCTGCCCACTCTTTTTATTCCTGGATAAGCCCCTGTATAGGTTCAGGAACACAGACCTCTTTTTATTAACAGTTTATAAACATTTTTATTCAAATGAACCAGTTTTGTTAACAATTACTTTTACAGACAAGACCTTCAAAAAATAGCTGGATTTTTGAAAATTTCCAAAAGAGAGAATGTGCGAGGTTTATCCCGACTTCAAGTGGTTCTGATAAGTAAGTTATACGAATATTTCATTGTCGACCCACTTGGCTTTGGTATAGTTTGTGTAGAACTATATATACTCAACACACTAAACTTCTTCTAAACGCTCTTATATAACTACATCTTCTCGTTCTTTGCTAGGTGCTGTTGTGGCAGGATCAAAGAGGTGCACAATAAAGACGCATTGCTTCCACCTGCCTTACAAGATTCAACCTGGGTGTCTTCAAGACACACAGTAGCTTCACCCACAGATGCGTACGGGGAAATAGAATTCCATGGCGCAGGACATTGTAGCAGGGCTAAGGTATAATATAAGATGATGAGGAAATCTTTTCGGGGGTGTGGTGGGAATCAATCCTTGCATGGATAATATCTTAGGTCTCGTTTAAACGGACCCGTTTTCATTCAAGCCCATGTTATTTTTTTCTCGGTTTCGCCTCGTGTTTACACGACAAAGAATGAATATGCAATGAAACCGTGATGTTTTGAAAACGGTGTCGAAAGTAGAGCGCTTTGAAAACGATCCTGTTACGGTTTCATGTAAACAGCGAAACCTTGTTATTTTCTTTGTTTATCATTGTTTAGAATGACTCCAATTTGAAAACGGTGACCTGAAAATGAGAATAATATGTCATTCCGTTCTCGTGTGAACGTTTCTGTGACCATATCATTTTCAACCCGATTTCATATACACGAAACCGTGTTATTTCGAAACCAGGATCTTAAGATCGTTCCATGTCATTTTTGTTTCGAGAGAAGTGAATTTCTCTTGCTTCGAGGCTTTTTGTTAGAATTCTCCATATCTTCTTTCGCTGTAAAATGGGCAAGGCCTCAACATCTCCATGAAAGGCAATCGGTTTGTTTGACATACATTTTGTTTGCATACCCATGATGAAGGCATGCATTTGTATATGGTTTAATGGTATTTGTTTGTGCTAAGGATTTTATATAACCTTGGAAAGTCATCGGGGTCAAATGTTTCTCTTTTTTAATCTAAGAACCTTGTAATTTAAATTTATCAAAATCATATCAAGTTCTAGTTTGAGTTTCTTTATTCCATACACAAATTTTAAATCAGTGAAAATACTTACAGTTATAGAAATTCTTGTCGTTCATTATGGGACTTTTATTTTATGTGTTTTTCCCCCAGTATATTCGTGTTGCGCATGACACGGATGCAGAACTGGCTTATCGTCTCCTTTCTAGCGAGTGGCGGATTGGTTTACCAAAACTACTCATTTCTGTCACGGGTGGTGCGAAGAACTTCGTTCTGCAGAATAAATTGAAGAGGATTCTCAGAGATGGTCTTCTTAAGGTAAGGCAGCTTTGTTTGTTATAGTTACGTATAACTAAGTGTAGCACACACTTAACACAAGTGGCACAAACGCAAGCACGAAGATCTGACAACGTTGTTACTTGCCATTGATTTTGCTCAGTGGCAAGTTCCCGCCAAATCCTCAGAATCTCCATCCCGACATTTTTTTTGTTATTCAAACAAATCCACAGAATTTCCATCACGACATATTTTTTTTGTTTTTCAAACAAATCCACAGAATCTCCATCACAACATTTTTTTGTTATTCAAACAAATCCACCAAATCCACAGAATCTCCATCACGACATTATTTTGTTATTCAAACGTCGAGTTAAATAAAACCCCATTCTCAAAGATTCGACTTTAGCCACCAAACATAAGAAATAAAATGATAAATGTTCGGAAGAAAACGGTCTAGTTATGGGAGTTATGGGAGTGTTACCAGTATTGTTTTCCCTAGGCTGCACAGACAACAGGAGCATGGATAATTACCGGAGGAACAAACACAGGAGTTATGAAACATGTGGGCGAGGCTGTGCGCGGTCATACAGTCATGTCACGTGGTGCCCAGCTTAAAGATAGTGCTCATCAAGTCCATTTGATTGGTATTGCCAGTTGGGGTATTGTTAATCATAGAGATCTGTTAGTAAATACAAAGGTATGATGGCTTTTCTTGTGGTAGTCCCGTGGGGTATTGTTGATCATAGAGATCTGTTAGTAAATACAAAGGTATGGTGGCTTTTCTTGTGGCATGCTTGCAAGTCACCAGGTGACAGTTTGGACTTACACTTCAGGGGGGAGAGGGAGGGGGAGGGGGTATACACCGAAGCGATTCCGCCAAACTAAACCGACCTAAAGAGGGCAGGTCCCTAAACTGCTTGCCTTGCATTGGCCTATACGACTAAATTGCTTTTTGAAAATCCATACACTCGTTTAAACAGCGTAAAATGCATCCCAGACATTTGATTCTTTCGAACTTTCTTTAATATTAATAATATTCATACTATTTTTTAAATATTATATTTTCGGCATCCTATTCAGGTGCGTAATGTGCCCACTGCAGCTTCGCTGATCTATCTAATCAGGGTTTAGAAATCTCCAAGATTTGTATATTTTGTCTGACGTGCACGTGCTACTTGTTTTCCTGGCAGGAACCAGTTACATACCACATGACTTCCAGCATGAAATCTAAAGGGGCGTGCTTGGATAACAATCATTCTCATTTCATCCTTGTCGATAATGGTACCGTAGAGCAGTATGGTGTAGAGATATCATTCAGGGCAAATCTTGAAAACTGTATCGCTCGGAAAACCATGGCAGAAAGTTGTAGTAAGTTATTTTACTTCTCTTGATGCACATCCCTCTTTTTCCCTAGGCTGGTATAGCTTACGTCTACACAGGAACCACCCCCCCACCCCCC